CTCAAAATCAACTTCCACAAATGTGAGGTGCTCTCGATGGGGATCGAGGCCGAGGAAGGATACCGCGTTGCGGATTTGCTCAACTGCAAAGTGGGCAAATTCCCGTTTGTGTATCTAGGCCTTCCGGTAGGTACCAAGCGACCCACGATAGAGGATTGGGATCCTCTATGCGCTAAAGTGAGGACTAGGGTCTGCCCGTGGCGGGGTAAATTTCTGTCAAAAGCGGCGAGGCTCGTGCTTACTAACTCAAGCTTGTCTTCGTTGCCTATATTTGCAATGGGCCTGTTTTTATTGGCGGAAGGGGTTCATGCCAAGTTTGACACGCCGCGGGCCAAGTTCTTTTGGGAAGGAACTGGCCCGCACCATAAATACCACATGGTTAAATGGGCCTGGGTGTGCCGGCCCAAGGACCTGGGAGGCCTTGGGATCACCAATTCCAGGTGGCTTAACATCGCGTTGATGTGTAAATGGATTTGGAAAATCACCCAGGGGGCCGCAGGGCTGTGGTCCGACCTACTTAGGGCCAAGTATTTCCCGAACGGGAACTTTTTCGAAGGAAGGGCGAGGGGCTCCCCGTTTTGGAATGATCTTCAACTGCTCAAACCTGCCTTTGCCATGGGGGCAAAATTTGCGGTCGGGAACGGCAGATCCGCGCACTTCTGGACTGACCTTTGGATAGGTACTCAACCCCTTTGGATTGAATTCCGGGAGCTGTACGATATTGCTGTTAACACCGCGGCATCGGTGGCAGATGTGCTTGATGCGACGCCTCCGACGATTCAGTTCAAGCGAGAGCTCAACGGACCCGAGCAGGCTAGCCTCGTGAACTTGATGCACTTAATTGAATCGGTGGACCTCTCGGATCAGCCTGATTCGGTGAGTTGGGCGCTCACCAACTCCGGGAAATTCTCGGTAAAGTCCTTATATCGCAAGTTGTGTCGAGGGCCGACACAGCCGGTGATCGCAGGCCTGTGGAAAGCGCGGATGCCTTTGAAGATCAAACTTTTCATTTGGCAATTGTATCGCGATAGGCTTCCCACTTCCTTGAACGTTGCCAAACGCAATGGGCCGGCTACGGGCCCGTGTGCCTTATGCGGGGAGCCGGAGGACGCCAATCATGCTTTCTTTCGGTGCCCTGTAGCAAGGTTTGCATGGAGTGCCGTTCGGACCGCGGTTGGGGTCCTTTGGGACCCGCGCTCGGCGCCGGAGCTCTTCAACCTCCTTGCCGGGATCAAGGGCTCTGCTTTCCGGGTCATGTGGAGTTGTGTCGGGGCGCTTCTCTGGGCCTTATGGCTTACTAGGAACAAGTTCACTATAGAAAGATGTTTTCCTAATCATCCTGCTAATATTATCTTCAAATGCAACCTTCTATTGCAGCAGTGGAGTCCGTTGGGGAGGCGCAAGGATGCTGAGCTGATCAAGACTGCCCACCAACGACTAATGCAAGTGTATGCGATGGCTAGGGAGCCATGACTTTCGTGCATTTTGTTGCCTGACGAGCCTGCGTGCTTTGTACGGGCTTAGCCCTGTAATCTCGATTGGCGTCTTGTTAGCTTCTTCTGAACTTTCGTGTCTAAGCCGTTAGGCTTTTGGTGTTTTGTACTTAGACTTGATGTGGTATGCTGCCATTGGGGCTTTATTAATTTAAAGCCGGATGCATCTGGCGTCTTCGTTCTAAAAAAATAACCATGAAAAAAATGTCTGGGTATTGTAGGAGTACCAAGACGGGGTACCAAGGCACATCTATAATATAGCTTTATGAGATACCTTGAGCCACTACTGAATACAAAACAGAAGAAAATGTGACAATCTCTTTGATGGGAACTCATTTATAACAATGCACTAACCCTTTGGAAATGCCAAATATTTCCTCCTACCCTGTGTAGAGTAGGCAAGTTCACACATGAAAAAAATGGGTTCCTGCATAGAAATCACAAATATATGACTGAAACATTCAGGTAACCACGGTCATGAAATAACCATACAATAGAGTGGGGATGATCGATTGTCTCTTTGGCTAATTAAGGGAAATTAGATGGCAGAGAGATACATTCCCAAACTATAATTTTAGGCATGGAATTATATTATTGTTCATCAAATAAAAAACACATTATATGATAATAAAAAAAATCTCAATAATTTGCCAAATCTGTAACTAAAAAGTATTCTGATGTTGTACAGATCTTTAATAAATTGATAATCATATTCACCAGCAAAGTTGTGTGTCTATACATATAAGAATAAGCTATTTCAAATATGATGCTTGGAACATAGCTTGAGAAAAGTTGGAAGATCTCAATGTGACTAAACAGGCTAGACATGGATTGGAATGGTGACTGAAAGAACAATCTCCACTAATCCGAACAGAACACCAACAATTGTCCCCATGAACTGCCAGTACAGGTGTGATATCAGAGACCTCAAAGGGCTTCTTGTTTCTTTCCTTGAAATTACCACTCTCGACTATTCAATTATTTATTTAGTATAAGCAAGTGAGTAGATAAGCAAAACAGAGGGATAACGACTCTATAATCCTACTAAGAAATAACCACTCATGTTTTCCAGATCACAAAATTCCGATACAGGAGACTGAGTGGAGAATACCCTAAAAAGATGACAAATTTATGGCTGTTTTATAGTGAACAGTTAGCTCTTTGACGGCAGCTCTTGGTCAGTTTAGCAACTGAACATGGATTGAGCAAATTTATTATCTTATTTAATCTGCTTTAGATTACCGTTTGTAATGAAATAGCTTATCAGAATTTAACACTACATGGAAACTAAATTGAGCGAGACTTTTTGTGTAAAGCATACCTGATGCCTTGAGCTCTGGAATGGTATATGTAGAGACAAAATGTCAGGCATAAACTGGTTGGTCTTTCATCAAGCAACAACTAATAAAATCAGGCCATTGGCAAGTTGTAAATATACAGGTAGAGCCGCACAAGCAGACTGGCAGACGCCGGCGGAGGCGCGTGCGCTGTGGCTTGGGACAGGGTGTGCTCATCCAAGTGGGCCGCTGGCCTTGGTATTTTGGACATGAGGTGGATGAATGTGGCCCTCCAGACCAAGTGGCTTTGATTGCAACAGGCTAATTAGCATAGGCCTTGGTCCGAGTTCTCCTTCTCCGTCCCGAAGGAATCGGGGCAATTATTTCAGGCGGCCACTCAAGCGGTCATTGGCGATGGGCGAGGCACGCTATTCTGGGAAGATAGATGGCTCAATGGATACCGGTTGTAGGAGCTCGCACCACGGGCATATGGGCGTGTCCCGGAGCGAGTGCGGAAGGTGAGGACGGTGTTTGAGGCCATCAACGAGGGGAGATGGGCCACGGACGTCGAGCCGTCGGTGAGCGGGGAGGAAGCTGCAGAATACCTACTCATCTGGCCCATGATCACGGCGGTTCAGCTGGACGACCAGCACGCCGACCGCATCGCCTGGTCCTGGGAGAAGGACGGCACCTTCTCGGCCAAGTCGGCTTACGCGGCCAAGTTTGCAGCCCGGGAGGTGTCACCCACCGCGGCATTCACGGGGCGCTCCCGGACACCGCTCCGGTGCCGCTTCTTCGCATGGCTTGCGACCATGAACAACTGCTGGACATCGGACTGGTTAGCACGGAGAGGGCTACCGCACCAAGACGCTTGCCCTTTCTGCGATCAGCACGAGGAAACGATTAGCCACATGCTCATTGAGTGTGTTTTGGCGAGGGAAGTATGGGCCAAGGTGTTCACGGCCATGGGCGTTCCGCACGGCGCCCCTCATGTTGGAGAGCCTCTGCCAGATTGGTGTGCCCGGCAGGATACCCACGGGCGGCCAGCAAGGACGATGCGGACCCTGTGCCTTCTTGTCATGTGGGAGCTTTGGAAGCACCGGAATGCCATCGTCTTCGACGGGGCGACAGTCAGCCTTCAGCAGATTATGCACCGGATTGCGAGCGAGAGTAAGGTGTGGAGACAGGCGGAACTGCTAAGAGGAGCGTTGGATGCGTTCTTCGTGGAGGCACTCAAGTGGGCTCGCCGCGAGTAGTCCGGTTAGGCCATAGGAGGTGGACGGTGCCGCGGAGCGTTCTCTCCCCCTTTCTTCTTTAATATAAGATACGCACACTCGTGCGTATTCGAGAAAAAAAAATATATTGAAGCCGCGTAGCCGGAATAACCTATCAACTTCTGTTTCACCTGGCTCGGTTGGCTTCAATGTAGATTGCATTGTACTGGATAACCCATACAAAATCAAATGAACCGCGGACCCTTTAGCCGTCAACACCGGCAGCTTGGAACATGAGGTACACATGTTGAAGGTGCAGATCCAACATCAGATACACTTGTTTCTTCATTTTGATTTTCTATAGAGGGAAGACCGTAAGAGTTTGATCAGAAAATTAGAATGTGTCTCGAACCATTGTACGCATAATATCAAACAGGTTGTGGGCGGATGCTCCTGAACAGCAGAACAGGGTTCACCAAATATGGATTGTTAGTGAAATCGCTAAAGAAATCATCGAGAAAGTACTTTGGCCATTGCAAATCCATGTACATGAGAAAGAGGGGGCATAGTCACCTCTCCTGTTGTCTTGCCTCAAACACCTGCTCATGTAGCCAAAGAAGATTCAGAGAGATAAGATGAAAAATTAATGGCAGAGAGCATGAGGATGATAAGAGAAGATGCGTTGTCAAGCCACCATCGCACCGAGAGCCATCAGCAGGCCGCACACACCATCAAACTTGGTCAGGAGGAGCAGGACGTCCGCTCGTCCCCTTCCAGCCAGCGGCACATCAAGAGAGAGAGAAGCTGCCATGGCCCATGGGCGTGGGCCTGGAAGAGCCGTTGCTTGTGGGTACTGGGTACGTGGGTGAGCGAGACGATGAGCGAGCGTGCGCTGGGTTGTGAGTGGCTTCAGTTTTTTAATCCACGCGGGGGGCTCCACTCCCACTCACAGGCTCTATACTCTCGACTAGTTAAATTTGGATCTAGAGCCTGCCAGTATTTGATTCGTCTCAACAATGGAGATGGTCCTCGCCGCCGCAGCAAACTGTACCGGTGCCTTATCGTTCAACCACCCCAAAACGTTCCTCAAATCGCATCGATCCTCGGTCCAAATGCGGGACTGCAGATCGGGCCCCGCCGCGCCGCTCGCCGTGTCGTCCGCCGCCGCGCCGGAGGTGCCGCGCCCGGTGCGCCTGGGCATCATGGGCTGCGGCTCCATCGCGCGCAAGGTCGCGCGCTCAATGCTGCTCGTCCCCGCCGCCGACGTGGCCGCCGTCGCCAGCCGCTCCGAGGGCAAGGCGCGCCTCTTCGCCGCCGACAACGGCCTCCGGAGCGGCACGCGCATCCACGGCTCCTACGAGGCGCTCCTCGACGACCCGGACGTCGACGCCGTCTACATGCCGCTCCCCACCAGCCTCCACGTCAAGTGGGCGACCGCCGCCGCCGAGCGGGGCAAGCACCTGCTCCTCGAGAAGCCCACCGCGCCCTGCGCCGCCGACCTCGAGCCCATCCTCGCCGCCTGCGAGGCCAACGGCGTGCAGTTCATGGACTCCACCATGTGGATGCACCACCCCCGCACTGCCAAGATGCGTCAGCTCGTCGCCGATCAGGACACCATCGGAGACGTCAGATTTGTAAGTGCTCGAAACACCACATTATTATGTTGAAACTGTCATCAATTTTTTTAGTCCAGTTTTCTTTAGGATCTTGACGTAGCATATGCCCTTCGAATCATGTTACACGCTTTTATTAATCCCATCCCAGTCCCCATTTCGTGGATGTAAATTATAATTGTGCTTGCTTGTGGTACAGAAATATTTAATTGTCGATGCAACCCATGACGTATTTGTTCTAGCATAGATGGATACCACTTAATAACTTATATCACACACCAAAATGCTACCACCTCTCTCTTGATGAAAACGTCGCCTCCAAAAAAATATTACATCTTTATGAGACACACATGTGTTAAACATGTGGTTTGATTCCTGATATGCTGGAAGTACAACTACCCTCATAACCATCCAAACACATAATTAATTCTAAGCGTCAAAAGATTCACTGGTGAACTCGGTACCGAAGCTAGTAGCCTAGTTGCCTTTTCGTACCAACCAATAAAAAAAAACTTGGTGAAATGCTTGAACTTTTGCTACTCCATACTGGGTTGTGAGATGATTTTGAACTTTGAACAATCTGAAAAGCAATAGTTTCAAAAGCTATGCCAGAATATGACTTGGGGGGCAACATGTCATTACAAAGTACTAATCTCGTGTGTCCATGATGGCTGCATGATGTTCTTTACACTAATGAAACCATATAACTTGCGACCTGATACAAAGGCAGAGTTCATCATCCACCACAGGAGGTACTGCTCTTAAACAACAATGAACACTATAATGACAACATAAATCACCATATAATTCGATGCTCAGTTGCTCACACTCCAAAGGAAGAAGAAAAGAAGACAAAATGTCAGTGCACACTGCACAGTACCCCAAGACATGAAAACGAAAAGAAAAACCGAAAGCATACTACTCCCTCCGTTCCTAAATATAAGTCTTTTTAGAAATTCTAATAAGGGACTACATACGGAGTAAAATGAGTGAATCTACACTCTAAAATATGTCTATATACATCTGTATGTAATTCCTTATTGGAATCTTTAAAAAGACTTATATTTAGGAACGGAGGGAGTAGTAAGCAGGATACAACAGCTTGACAATGGTCTACAGCTCTGGGTTCAGATTAACATGTTGATACTGCTGGAAATGTTAAAACTGGCATTAAAAGTTGAAACTAAGGTTGACTTTGTCTCACATTGGCTAAAACCTCTCATGTACTATGAGTTGGGCTGGGGATAGAGAAGACAACGGATACATCACATTTAAATTGCTGCCTGTTAATACCTAAACTCTGGAACCTATAGCACATATGTGGATTCTGAATGTTTATGAGATGATCTATTCCCATTCTGTATGCGTCAAGTGTTCCCCAACTAACAGTGTGATGATCTATTTCCTGACATAACCTCACAGCCGTTGGTGCCGACTTACTTTGAAACTTATACAATTGCCACCGTTCAGCTGTGAAGGTAAATAACTGTTTTTCTTCTCTCTTATGCTGCTTCAGATAAACACCATGGTCAGCTTTCTAGCAAACGAAGATTTCCTCCAGAATGACATCAGGGTAAAGCCAGACCTTGATGGCCTGGGTGTGCTTGGTGATATAGGGTGGTACTGCATCCGTGGAATCCTGTGGGCTGTTGACTATGAGCTGCCCAAGAACGTGGTTGCTCTCCATCACCCCGTCAAGAACCAAGCCGGTGTGCTCCTTGCTTGCGGTGCGTCGCTCTACTGGGCCGACGGCAAGGTCGCCACCTTCCACTGTTCTTTCCTTACCAACCTGACCATGGACCTCACCGTCGTCGGCACAAATGGTACTATTCATGTCACCGACTTGGTCATCCCGTACGAAGAGAAGTCTGCTCCGTTCAGCGTCGACTCCAAGACGAACTTTGCCGAACTCTCTACCGGATGGGATCCACATCCGAGCAAGCATGTTGTCACCACGGACCTACCCCAGGAGGGGCTCATGGTGCAGGAGTTCTGTAGGCTGGTGCAGGGCATCAGAGATGCCGGTGTCAAGCCTGAGGGGAAGTGGCCGGGCATCACCCGAAAGACACAGATTGTCGTGGATGCAGTCAAGGCTTCTATTGACAACGGATTTGAGTCCGTCGATGTTGCCAGCTAAATACAACACATAACTGGTGTTCCCACGTTGTATCTTCCAGACCATGATAAATCTATTTGCTGAAATAATTTGAACGATTCTTGTCATATTGAGGACAATATTGCAATGATCAAGTAAGAGTTACTACGAATTTTTGTTGTGTATAATACATGGGGAAATATGGATGCTTTGAGTGATCTACAAAGTGTTTTCTACGTCAACCTGACAAACTGAAATAATCCCAGAAAGCTGTAAAATGGCACTCGGATTCTGGTTTCCTCAATGTGAACAGAACATTTAAATATTACAAGAGTAAAATAAATAGCAAAAACCAACCATATTTGTGGTTAGGTTTTCAAAAAACTACTACCACATATCGACTTCGTTCCAAAAACTACGGGTATTATGCTATTTTTTCGCAAAAAAAACACTAATGACATGGTTAAATTTGAGCACCTTTTATGACATGTTGAATCCCACTCGTCAGGCCGATGTGACACGGGATGACAGCCGACAGAGGACGGACGTTACGTGGACTTTAGAGGCATTCTCTCTAACACCTCACATGTGCTGATGCAGGCAGAGATGGCGGAGCGTCCGCTGGTGGCTATCATGGTGAGCTGGTGTGCTACCACCTCGCCCACGGCCGCAGGTAGCCTCCTCCCCGGCATCCATTGTCATGAACCAGGACTGAATTTGAGTAATTAGATACAATTCTCAGACGCTAGGATTTGGAGGAGAAACTCGAGCTCGAGTCCTTGGAGCAAGAGGAAGGAAGAAATGAGACAGGGTCTCGTTACATTCTCGATACCGAGTCAGACGGGAGCTCATATACGGCGCTCTAGGCGCCCGTTTGGGAAGTGGCGCTCACGCAGCCGCGAATTTGCGCCGGCCCAACGCGAGTGCTCTCGCTGCGCACATCTATCGTTTGCTGTTGGTAAACAATAATACTAAACATATAAAGAGTTACACGTAATTATACGCTGACTAGGATTTTTTTCCATCTACTAACCAATCATAAACTTGCCCCTTCCTGATTTTCAAAGGGGTGGGCCGCCTTCTCATCTATTGACCAATCAAATTAACCCTCTTTGTAAAACCTTGTAACTCATTTGTATGTGTAGCATTACTCGTCGGTAAATGGGTTCGCTAGTGACTGGCCGCGGTTGCCCAGTCAACCATTGACAGGTTAAATGTCTACTTTTGGAAAAAAAGAAAAATAAAAAAATAGCAAAAATGAAAAAATCATGAATTCAAAAATGTTCATGGATTTTGGAAAAATGTTCACAATCTTAAAAAGTTGACAGATTTGAAAAAAATCATCAATTTTAAAAAATGTTCATTAAACTTTAAAAAAGTGAATGGATTTTAAAAAAAGTGAATCGAATTTGAAAAAAATCATCGAATTTGAAAATAATTCATCAAAAAATGAAAAAGTTCATTTATTTTAAGAAAATTATTCATCGATTTTGAAAAAGTTCATCAAAAAATAAAAAGTTCATCGATTTGGAAAAAAAATCATGAATTTGAATTTTTTTTTCACTGAATAAGAAAGAAGAAAATAAAGAAAATAAAGTAAAACAGAAAATGAAAAAGAAAAAAAGAAAAAAGGAAAGAAGAAAGAAGAAAGAAGAAATGAAGGAAAGATATGTAACTTATTAGATCGGGCTAAGTGCCGTTGTGGTTAGTGTAGCGCAACTCAATGCGGAAGGTGCTTGGTTCGATACACTCCACGAGTGCAGTTTTTTCTGTTTTAAGAAAACAGATAACAAAAGGGAAGTTGGGCCGGCCTAGCGCGGAGGGTTGTGTGTGCCCGCTTGCAAAATGCATACAAACGAGCGTCTGAAGCGCCAAATAGGAAACACCCAGCAGACCTACCTGTCTCCTTTAGTATCGTTGCGCATATGGGATGGGCCTTGGGCAATTGCCTTCTGGTCTTGATTCTTCAACTGGGCCTACCTCTAGTGTTGACACTCATCGGTCTTCTTCTTCACCTTGACAACTCTTCATGGATGTAGTGGGTCATGACAATACCCCCTCCTTGAGACATCAAGAGCTTGGACTCCGGGAAATCAACCCAACTCCGACCACTTTGCTTCTACATTGATTGTCCACTCCGACAATTAAAAAGAAGCAAAAGTCCAAGAACAAAATGAGATCCTCAAGTTCTAAGTCCAAGTCCTCGTCACACAAACAAAAACTAGCGCAAGGCTCATGCGTATCTTCGTACGGAAATGGACTCTGAGAAGAATCTGGCCAGATTCTGGCTCAGAAGAAAAGTCATTCGACAAGGATTTTGACTCTGACATGGCTGGGTTAGCATGCGCCTCATCTCCTATTCATTGCTCGACCTTTAACACCAATGACGATAACAATGATGACCGGCCCACCTTTCTGCTTTATGGCTAAGGGGTCCAAGTTATCTTCGAGGAACACTTCATATGACTCATGTGATGATGATTTACTCAACGGTAAACTTGATGATCACATGAAACAAAGTTATTCTAAACTTGCACAACTTGCTAAGAAGGAACAAAAGCTCTTGATAAGCAAGAAGATTTACTGGTCAAAGGATGGAAAAGAATCAAGCTTGACTAATAAACATAAGATTCTACACTCAAAAGTTTTGAAGAATTTTCCACTCGTCATGAGGCCTTTCATCAGATCGTGAGAAATTAATTTTTAGATTCCACAAAATGAGCAAGAACTCGAAAAGTTGAAAGCGTCTCATGATGATTTGAGGACTGAGAACGACCGATTTGTCGCTCAGCAAATCAGTGCTTCTTAGGAAGAATTATTATTATTGAGCTATGAATGACCGTAGGAGAGTTTCCTATAGTCCTTGTAAATTTCTCAAGAAGAATTTGTTCCTCCTTGCTTAAAATGCATTGAACAAGATTCTGATAATTCTTCACGCAAATCATCTAATGCTTTTGAGGCTCGAAGGGAAGGAGTTTGTAGCAAGTAGGAAATTTCCCTCAGTGAGAATCAAGGTATGAATCCATAAAGGTATTATACACCAATAACAAGTTCAGCTACACTAATAAAGCTTCACATGTGCTCCCACCAGTCTTACAAGAGTAATCAATGTACATGCATGAGTAGTCTGTGTCGTTCTGGACCTAATTCTTTGTCCCTATGGATGAAGTTCTAGTTTTTGCCCAGTGCACTTTCTTCTTGTGTGATAGACGTGTGAAGTTGGGCTGGTCCAACTCTTGGAATTTGGTGGAACTTTTAATGATTGGTTTTGTTTTCAATAAAAATTTAGGTTGAGGCGAAGCCCCCGTTAATTGATTTTGTGTGTGTGCATAAGTAGTGTAGTAAGCATTTGTGCAAAATCGATGCAGCTGCAGTTCATTGTGGCAGGAATTTGTAAGTAAAATTTGATTCATTATTGTAGAAGTGCACGCTCTAGCCAATGCAAACAAAAGACCGATCTGAAGGAAGAGACTAGGCAACACATTATACGTCAACACTCCCCCTTGACTCCGATACCATGTAGAAGTGCATGCTCTAGCCAATGCAACCAAAAAACCGATCTGATGGAAAAGACTAGGCAGCACATTATACGTCAACAATTATGCAACCAAAGTCCGTATGATCATTTTTAAGAGACAAAATAGGTTTGTCTAATTTTTTTATATATCTTGTTGAAAATCCTTAAAATCCTATTAATATGGAGTCCTTACAGTCTCATTCTTTGTTCCACGTGCCTACTTTCTTTCTATATGACTACAATCCTCAAGCGTGCATGAATAATGTAATGAAAAAACACACAATACATGAACAGACGTGCATCCGCATGAGCTAGTGATATGCTTTATGAAAATCAGAAATTGTTAGGGTTCAGTTTGCGATCGTTGAGTAGTGTTGTTGCAAAATTAGTTTAGTAAACTTTTGCACAAAAAATGGCATCCTATCTGACAATCAAGACTACTTAATTTCTAAAATAACAAAATCATTCGAGATGATATATGTATCTTTTATGCTTTTTTGTTAGCCACGACACAATTTCAAGGTTTTGTTTTCCTAAACATATATCAACTAAGAGCATACAACCACTACCAATTTTTTTGTACATCCAAAGGAGATAATCAAATATGCAGGAGTAATCAACGAACATGCATGAGTACCAAACAAGGATGCACACACCAGGTATATATATCCACACAAAACTAGTGTACATACATATATAGACATATATAAGTTCCACACGCGTGTCGTGCATTGATACATGAGATACGATTTATTTGGGGACAAATAATATGTAGCACACATCATATTCTCGCATATATATGTATATGAAAGCATTAACCCTGCCATCGGTGTTGAGATCTTGATCTTTGAAGCACGTAGCGGCAGTATATATATATCCAGCCGTCGATCTCAGATATATATGTAGATGGTCAGTTAGTTAGGTATGTCCTTGAAGTGAGGCTTGGCCATGGTCGGAGTTGGGTCATAGGTCCCGTAGTCGTTCGTCTTCACCTGCCTGAGGATTCTCCCGCCGTGCACCACCACCAACACCTCGTCGTCTTCCTGCTGCTGCACGGATGATTCCATGCACGCATGCATGCACAAGAGTTAACGAGCGGTACAAACAATTAGCTAGCTACTGGCTAACAAACAATACAAGAGCAATACATGTAATCATTTACAACTACAAACGGATGACCATATGCATGTATCCATGCAAGCAGCAGGGTGCCAGGGTCCGAAGTGATATGCTAGTGCTAATTTGATCCGACATATTACAAGACGCATGCAGTGTACATCTTGCTGCTTGTGCTAGTTTCATTCGAATGATTTGTGATTTTGATTCGATCCAAATGATAATGGATGACTTGTTTCGAATCGTTTTGTTCACCACATGGTCTGCAGTTCGTCATATATTTTTATATACGAAATAATTCAGAGTTTGCTGCATAGAAAAAACCGTGTTCTAGTCGGGAGAAACTGCATCGATAAGTCTTATGCCTAGCTAGTCAACTTGTGTTGCATGTCCTATTTATGTGCTATCCAGACCAAGAGGAGATGGGAGACAAGTTAATTAAGGAATTGATTTACTAAACTTATTCTTCTTCTTTTGAAATAAAATTTGTCCAATATTTGAAGACATTAGTAAATATGACTCCATAGGAGTATATCTCTTCAAATTTCTCACGTGTTAACAACTATTAGTTCCTTGTTTACTAAGAACTTCTTGCTAGCTTGCTAGCTAGCTAAAAGGGAATCTAATATAACAACACAAATATGAGAATCCAAAAAATAGATGTATGCATCACTAGCTAGCTGGGTCATTTATATACCATCCTCGATCCTGCATCATCTTCACTCATCAGCAACTTCCTCTGCGCTCCTGCCTCAAGCAAACTCCAAAAAATCAGAACCGAAACAAAGCAATAGAACCAACATTCTCGGATGCACAAGAACTAACAAAGGCACATAAGAGAAAAGCACATACATGACCTAGCTAAAAGGAAATAAATGCAACGACCATGTGGAGCTATAGCTAACCAGCCATGGAGGACAAGAGGAGCGCCGCGAAGACGAAGACGAAGAGATAGTAGCTAGGCTTGTTGGCCTCCATGGCGCCGGCCTGCAGGCAGGGAGAGCATGCAGCTACCTTTCCTCAGCTTCAAGAGAGAGACAGAGACAGACAGAAGGTAATGGCGGGGGAGAGAGGAGGGGAGCCTTTCCTTGGTTTGGACACAAAGGAACCAACACCCTGCAGATGTGAGTTGTCCGAAAGAACAGAATAGATTTAGTATACAACTATTTCTCTGGGGCAGCATGATGGGGATGTGAATCTCAGTGGAGTGTGCTGCTTATTAAAACCAAAAGTGGAGATTAAAGGGATGGGTCAGAGCTTTCCCTGTGGAGTTTTTCAGGGCCCTGTAGTCATCATCACACTAGACTTGCTGGTGCAGCCTGTTTGATTAACTAGCCCCAGAAGCTAAAGCAACTGACCATGCAAGTATATAATCTAGCATATATACCATATTCATTCTTGGAGTGCAATGACGGCATACCGTATTTGTCTTTCTTTTGAATAATGTCATCCTGTGAAAACGAGATCCAATTGAGACTGGTTGTTGTTCGGCTCTGTGCTGGTGCTGGTAGGTGCCACAAGTTAACAGGTTAGAATATCTTTAACTAAGCCTGGATAAATTTTGTGTATTATGATTATATATAGTGGTTTCACAAGAGTGGTGGACATTGGTCAGAGTTCTGCGGTAGTGGTGTTAGATGCCATACCAGCGACAGCCATGCACGCAACATGGTGACCACCAACGGGCCGGAACTGTCCTAGTTTACTTGAGGTTGAAACTATGATGAGCTGCAGAGGGTTAAAAGCCTGCTGGCTAATTACTTTTCCGGCATGCAGACGTAGAATTATGCTATCTCTATTTTACTTTCACTACTCATATCCTTGCATTTTGCTACATAGCACGTAGTGGTCCCTTTGTTTGACAGTCTGTCATCTTAGGTCTTGACTGTCATTGGAATGTGTGTATCTGAAATCACGACGGCGCGAAGCGCGACACCTCTTCCTTTTCTCCTGCGACTGCACTGCCTCCGTGGGCGGCCGGCCGCGCCCACCCCCTCTTCCGCGCGCCTCCCCCTTCCCCTTCCTCCCTGCCGCCATCGCCGGCGCCTGCCGCGGGCCTGGCCCGGGCGACGCTGGTGGCGGCAGCCCCCTAGCCCTCCCCCTCTCGGGTGTCCTCCGGCACACGGGACGGGGTGATTCCGGGCGGTGTCTTTGGGCGGCGGCGGGGGTTCCTGGAGCGAGCGGGGGCGGGCTACTAGGCAGCGACACCGCCATTGACGGCGCCCGCTCGGCCTAGATCTGGGCCTGGGCGGGCCAGCGGCGGGGTGGGTCTGCCGGGTGCTGGCCGGGTGCCGGCGGCTCCATCACCAGCTTGCTGCAGCGTGGCTGGCGGGGCTTAGCGGGCCCGTTTCGGGCTTGGCTGGGCCAGGGGTGGCCTGGCATGCCCTGCTGCCGCGTCCGGACGGCTACCGCGACGGTGCCGGAGGCTCTCACCACCCGCATGATGGCGGTGGAGGTGGTTCCCTCCCGTTCGGCTACGATGCTGCTTCTCCCTCCGCGGGGCGCTTCTTTCCGTTCCTCTTGGCCTCGTCTTGGTGTTCGCAGCGAGGTGGTGCGGGTGGTGGCGCAACCGCGATGGCGCATGGTGGTGGGCGGCGGTCTGGCTGGTCGGCTCCGGTCCGTTGGGCGGTGGGGTTGGAGTGCGGGAGAAATCCTTGCCGGCTCTTCGGCTCCGATGCGGTGACACCTGCGGGTGCCACCATTCCTTCCTGAAGGGTGTCGGTGATATCCATCCCCCACCTCCCTCCGCGTGCCAGGGGAAACCCTAGGACATGTCCGGGTAGCAGCGTCGTCGGCGTCGCATCCCTTCTTGGAGGTGCTGCTTGGTACGCGGCGGTTCAGAGCCTCGGGTTGTGGTGGTTTGTCTCTGGAGGGTGTAGCGGTGACAGGTCATCCGTGTCGTGGTTCTAAGTCTGACAGTAATGTACGGGGGTAGGTATGGAGAGGCAAGATCTTAGCTATGGAGTAGTTGTAAGCACACGAGGTTTACGAGTTCAGGCCCTTCTCGGAGGAAGTAATAGCCCTACGTCTCGGAGCCCGGAGGCGGTCGACTGGATTATGCGTGTATGAATTACAGGGGTGCGAACCCTCCACATTGAGGAGCGGGTGGCTTATATAGAGTTCGCCGGACCCCTCCGGCCCCCAGTTATGCAGGGTTTTAAATACATTAAGATCGGGCGTTATTGGTAACGCCCCTAATAAAGTGCTATGATGACCATAAAAGCTACTTAATGCCCGACCGTTAGCGTGCGGAGTGACTTTAGGTCTCCTGGCCGTCGGGTGGTTGGATCTTGGTCGAGTGATTGCTTCTTGGTCGAGTGTCTTCGAGTCTGTCGAGTGGAACACCTCCAAGTCGATTGAAAGGTGATTTCTTCTAGAGATGTCCTTGGGTAGGGCAGTTGGGACAGGTCCATGACCCTACCCTAGGTACATAGCTTCATCATTAGCCCTCGAATGGATCGAGGTTTGAATGGGGAAGGAGTTGAGAACTTCTCCGACTCATTTTTCATGCCATGAGCATATCTTGTTTCAGATCAATGAACCTGAGTGATGACAGCAACTTCATTTTCAGTCGCCTTGATCCATTCTTTGTCGAGTGAGTTTCTTTACTTGAAAAGCTCCGAGTGACGGTGTGGAGGAGATCTTCCGTCTGACAAGTTGTTCTGCTGCCCGCAGATTTCGCGGGATTCGAATTTTGGGAAGCGTGCGGGATGGGGGAGGCCGCAGTAATCGGATGGGATAGGGCGGAGCCGCCTCGATCTCCGTGCCACCATTTTCGCCACGTATCGCGCGCGCGATTGTTATGGGATTTGACAGTACCGTTCGGGCCTACCAGTCAGCCACTCGGAAGCGACCTCGTATAAGGCGTCGGACCGGGGTTTCTTGAACAGTGCGTTCTCATTTCCTCTTCTCCTCTTCAGGCTTCTTCGTCGCACTCGCTCTCGCCCCAGCGCCGCCGCTCCGTACGCGTCTCGCCGGCGACGATGGGGAAGGAGAAGACGGCGGCTCTGGATCAGGCGAAGACGGCGGCTCTGGAGCGGGCGAAGACGGCGACGGCAAAGGCGAAGGGGAAGGCGACCAGTTGGGGTGGATCTTCCTCGCGAGCCGGCCTGTCGAAGGGCTGGATCCAGGGCGACTGGATCCGCTCGGCGATCCGCCAAGAAGACCTCGACGACCTAGCCGACGGAGGGCTGATTCCCCATGGATCGGCGCGGCTTACGGGGAAGGAATCCGAGCCGCAACCTCGGGAGGGTGAGCGCGTTCTCCTTGCCACCCACGTCGACCGTGGATTTTCCTTGCCTCCTCACCCTTTCTTTCGGGGATTTCTGAATTTCTTTGGGGCACAACTCCACCACTTCACTCCCAACACAATCGTGTATCTCGCTGCTTTCGTGTCTTTGTGCGAGAATTTCTTGGGTTGTCGGCCTCACTGGGGTCTTTTCAAGCACATTTTCACCTGTCGCTCTCAGACGGTGAAAAAGGCCAATCCGAGTGACGAGAGAACACAAGTGATTCAGATGTGCGGGGGTCTAGGTGTTCAGATGAGAGGGAAAAGTTCCTTTCCAGCCATGATTCTTCCCGACTCGGTTCGCGGATGGCAGTCGACCTGGTTTTACTGCAAAGACCAGCCGACGCCAGGGCAGTCGACTGGCCTCCCTCCTTTACCATGGACCGAGTGAGGAAACCCTCCTCTTTGAAGGTGCTCCCGGAGGAGAAGGCGCATGTTAGGGTGCTGGTCGAACGAGTGGTCCAGCTTATCCGTGACGGGGTCACCGGTATGGATCTCTTGGAGGTTTTCCTTCGGCGGCACATCTAGCCTCTTCAAGCCCGAGACCATCCGATGTGGATGTATTCGGGTCTTGGCGACACCACTCGGATTCACCCGAAGGAGGTCGATGACGACACACTGGAGAAGTGGCTGTCGGGCATCACCGGAAACAAGGACAACCCCAGGGGAGCCAGGAGAGTTCCTCCATTCGACCAGTCCCATGAACCAGAAAAGGTCCGATTCTGAGCTTTTGATCGTAATCTGAATTGCGCAGCTGCCTATACTGCATCGACTGACTTTATTCTTCCTGCTTTCTTTCAGGCCCTTATCGAAATGTATTCAATGCCCAACGGAGAGCAAGAGCAAGACCTGGAAGGAGAGGCGAGTAGCGGCGACAGTGGCGAATGGTATTCTGACGGTGAAGGGGACGAAGAAAGCGACGACCCAAGTGACGAAGAAGAAGTCGAGTCGCCTCCTCGCAGGGAGAGGCGATCCAAGCTTGACCAAGAATGACCGAGCGCCCGTGAAAAGGCGATTGCTCAGGCTGGTCAGTCTTCAAAGCGTCCTCGGACCTCTTCATCAACCCCAACTGAAAAAGCATCAAAGCATCCCAAAGTTGCAGAGCAGAAGCCTCGGAAGGCGTTGCCGAAGATTAAGATTGACATCCCTCGCTTCTGCGTGAGTGTCTCCTTTGTATTCACTCGACGCCCCGTGCTGTTTGTTTTTTCTTGATTTAACCAGACGAACTTTGGAACTGGCAGCGCTGCTACTTCTGGGACCTCAGCTTACAGGGATGAGGATGAGGTAATGGAGGATGCGGTCACTTCCAATCTGGGTATGATTTCCGACATTTTGTCTTTATTTGGTCGACTCAACTGCAATGTGTACCATTGGATGATGTGATTTTGGCGATTGATCTTTGAACAGCTCCTAACATTATTGACCTCCCCAATGATGATGATGAAGAGCCTGAGAGGCCTTTGACGAGGAAAAATAGGCAAGCTCCTGCAAGCAAGGTGCCACAGTCGACGCCGAGGGCGGAACCAGTCGTTCAGGACGCTGGTGATGCCAATCGGGGTTCTGTTACCTTCGTCGTACCATTGTCGAGTGCCTTGCCTTCTTCGTCGACTGCTCAGGCCCCTGCCGACCCACCTTCAGTTTTTGCGACCCATCATGTCCCAGAGGACGAAGTGAATGCTGCCAAGGAAGC